AATAATAAATTATAAATATATTAAATTTTATAATAAATTATAAATTTTTTATAATTATAAAATTATAAATGCTTTTGAAAAATGATATATCTGTATTACGTAAGGTATTATATTTTTCTTTACAAATTGAAGATATACAAATATACCTTGTCTTGATATACACTCATAATAACAGATGTAACAGTAGCAAGAATGCCGGTTTGTATGTGAATCATATTAGAAGTTGATTGAAACCATATTTCTACTTTAAGCGTTGTCACTACATAATAATAAAGGCATCCATAAGCGATCCATATTGTTATATTATAGAAAATGCTTAAATAAAGTTTCTTTGGAGAGTAGACACCTAAACCGAGAATGGAAGCGATTAGGAGTAAAGGATATACAGCCTTTTCTATGGTATATGCCATAGTCATCACTCTCACGGTTTCTGCAGCAAACTAACACCGACTGTTCATTCGAACTCATTTGATTAAATTCATTTATTAAAGTGATAGAATAATGCATAGTTGAATTATCAAATGCATTAGCGTTTTGTATCATTTAATTCTTCCATACACAATGACGTAGTCGATCGATGTCACCAGACAATGTTAATAATATACAAACGGCATGATCATGTCTTTTATTATAATAGAGCACTATTGTTCAATTAATATTACATTTAATAGAATAATATCAAAAATCATAAATAATTTTGATGCATTATTACAATGTTAGGTTCGATTAGATGCTAGGTATGTTGCTTTTTAAACGCAATTGTAAGTCAATTAAGATGTATTAACAATTATTTTTAATACACCTTAATTTTTAATTGCACCATAATGATCAGGAAATTTACAATCGTCGTAATAAACTGAAAGAAGACTTTAATTAATTAATTTTTATTAAATATAAAAATAACATTTTATTGAAAATATCAATAAATAAATGTAAAATAAGTTAAAGCAACCGGAAACTATTATGTAATAGTGGAAAACAGTAGAAAAACAGTTTTGATAAGAGAATATTAAAAAAGAAATATCTTGAATTGTTATAAGTTATGATATAAAAAACGACATAAAGCGGTAAAAAAAGATAAATGCAAAGATAAACCTTTCGAAGGAAGTCATTGCCAAGGTAGAAAAAACCCATTCCAGTTAATTTTAACGGATGATACATTATTTGCAAAGTAAACTGATAAATCTGTACATAAGAGATGTTATTTTACTTTAAACAATTTACTTCATTTACTTGTTGCTATAAAATATTATTTACCTCCTTCCAAACGTCTGCATATCGAATAGAATTTGTCAGTTGATGAATTATTTTGTTAATTTCGTTAGCCTAAAATTTAAATAAAATTTATTACATCAAATATATATTGTTATTAAAAATTTTGCTTCATTTTACCTTAACTGTAACATTCTCACAGATATAATTTACAACGCATAGTTTCATTAAAAATAGAAAAATCCATAGGCTGAGATTAAACCATATGTGTATTTGTATCTCTTTTTGCCATCCCTCTATTAGTATTATGCATAAATAATAGCACAATAATGTTAAAAACAAGAAGTAGGATGTCATCTCCAAAGTCATTTGTATTCCAAATATGGAGTTCAGCTCACGAGTAAGACGACATAATTCTAAATGAAGCTGCCTGTTGAAAAACACATTTTCTTACGAGAAAACGTAGAAATGAAAATCCATATAATTTAGAAAATTTAAATAGTATTTATAATTATACTGCTCTCATAATCTTCAGAAATAGAGTTCTGTTAAAATTGCATTATCAATTTTGCATCGATTCAATAATTTAGCTAAATATATGCGTGTGTAGATTTACATTGTAGTCCACAATGTTCGCTTGGAATTATTAATACATGAAATATCTCGACGAAGAGCTAGTACAGATTTTCTCCATGTACATCTCAGTCCATGCTCTTCTTTCACCAATAAACACCGTACATGCACATTTACTTTGTCAAATCTGGTACCAATATACCTATATTGCAAAGAATCTTTCAAAAATTGTATAATACATAGCAAAATCTTCAATTCAAATGTATATTTAAAAAACAGGTTTTTTTTTTAAATAAATGTAATCTTTTTTATGATAAAATGTTTGTATTGAAACAGCTATAGAATGATATATCAGCGACTTTTGCTAGAAATGCCAAAAAAATGTCATTTTAATGTAATAATTATATATAAAATTACATTAATAATTAGCGAGCAAATTGCAAAAAAAACGGCATTGATTTTCATAAAGATAAAAAATACAAATAACATATACATTTGTTGAGTTTATAGACATGTTGATATTCATATCTCTTTTCTTTTATCACTATATGTATATCTAAAGTATGCATATTATAAAAACTATGCAATGAATAAAATTAATATATATATGTACATTGTAAATACTATACAAACCATAGGAGAAACATGAATAATTGTTGTATATATGTACATTGTAAATATTATACAAACCATAGAAAAAAAATAAATAATAAGTCCAGAAATGTATTGACATGCATAGGATAATTTAATATGTGAGATAAAAATAATCCCCAAGAAGCAGTTTCTTTTCTGTTCAACCAAAATATCGTATCATCAAAATTTATAGCAAGGCTGTATACGATCCAGCCGATTAGTATTCCTTTTCCTAATATATGTATCTTTCGATATATCTTTGGAGTGCCAAGCTCTTCCAAAGTATCATCCACTGCAGCAAGTCTTATTACACATATTTCAAATCTCTAAAACAATATTAGAAACAATCCAAAATTTACGCATTTGTGAGACAATTATGCTTTAATGACGTAAAAATAATAATGTAAAGACTTTAAAAATCTTTGAAGACATTGTATATATGTTTAATTTTTTTTTATTTAAGTTTTTCTGTTAACATATAATTGCGATATACATATTATACATACACACACTGACACACTTTTTACATATGCACACATATATACATAGAATGTATGTGAATGTGAGAATTGAAATAAAAATCACAATTACGCTCAAAAACATTGTTAGATATAATTAATATTATAAAGTATATAAATTCAATATCTTAATATAAATATTTGAATGTAATTGCATCTATATGTACCTTTTGATAACAAAATTTCATAATTACGGATATAAACAATGATAAGATGTTAGTCGCCGTAACAACCATATTAATGGGGGTAGGATATATTACTTTTAATGTAAATAAATTCAAAGTATAGAAAAGGAAATAAGTATAGGCAATCCAGATTATCAAAGAATACAAAGTGCTTAAGTATATGATACATCGTAACTTCAATTTTGATTGTTTTATAGGATAAACACCTAAACCCATAATAAAACATATTATAAAAAAAGGATGTAAAGCTTGTTGAATAGTCGTAACCATAATCATCACTACCATATGATCAAACTAACACTGTCTGTTCGAACTCATTTGCTAAATGTTTTGCGATTGCGCCGACTCGTAATAAGATAGCTGATTTTCGTAATTGTAACATACTTATGTTTTTCCAGTACTTATATATATTAAAATGATCGATTTGCTCTAATAAGCAAGAGACATATGGATTTTGTGATGTAAATTATTAAAATAACGTTGCTAATTCCATTTTTGCGTGTTTTGCTGTAGAAAGCAACAAATTCAATATTGTTTTGCATAATTTTATTCTACAGGATGTTTATAAAGTTTGTCTCCATCCCTATATTTTGGATACAGCTCAAAATCATGAAAAACAAAGAAATACATGCTCGATCATTTTGAAGGGTTATTCTTTTAAAGAGGAGTTGTCTCCTCAAGGGGATGCCTCAGGGGGAACCCAATTCAAAAATTTTAAATGGAACCCTTCATATTGTAGTTTATTGTTGGAAAGGGCATAACAAAGAAAATTTTTGGCACAAACCGGAGGTTATACGTTGACCCGTTCAGGAGTTATTTAGGGTCAAAGTTCAAAAAAGTCAATTTTCAAAAAATCGTTACTCCCATTTGGAAAATCCTAAAAAACGTTCGTGGTGTGAAGATGTTGGTCTTTTTAAGTTTTCATTCTTCATGCATATCTCAATCCATACTGTTTCTTAATCAATAGACATGTGCTGATTTACCTTGTCAAATCTAGTACCAATATACCTGTTACAAAAAAAGAATAATTGTACAATAATTACAATATATAAAAATATTCATCACACATAATTACTCGAAATAAAAATGATCTACGGTAAAATTTTTTAGTCTGCAGAGTAAACATAAAAAACATTTCTTTTTTTTCGACACAATTTTACAAGAAAATGTTAAATACCTTTCTTTTAAAAAATTTAATCTTTTTTAGCATATCTGTTTTTTTTTAGGAATAACAACTATTTTTAAAATACATATGTATTAAGACAACAAAAGAAACTAGTATCCTTTCAACTTATTACTTGATATCCGTACATTCTTAATTACTACAAATTTGGTTTCGTAAACAACTGTTGATAATTATATAGACATTAAATTAATATTATACATATTAATTATGCATTGTTACGTTTATTAATGTATTTCATTAATTTATATTTTTAGTATTTTTATTTAGATATATTGTGTAATATAATACAAACCACAGGAAAGTCATAAATAATAAATTCTCAAATATGTTGACGTGATAAAAATGATTTATAATATAAAGTAAAATCAAGCACCGACGATCCTTTATTGCGTAGAACCACCAAAAGCAATCAAGTTTATTTGCTATATGTGTGTGTGTGTGTGTGAATGCACACGAACCATCCAGTTAACACTCTTATTACATATGCATGTAACTGTCGATATATCTTGAGAGTGCCTAACTCTTTTAACGTATCGTTTACAGCAGCAAGTCTTTTCATGAATATTCGAAATCTCTAAACAATATTAAATAATACAATTCAACAACCAAATGTTACAATAAATAATAATAAATTTTTTAAAAAATAATAAATTATAAATATATTAAATTTTATAATAAATAATAAATAATAAATTTTCTATAATTATAAAATTATGAAAGCTTTTGAAAAATGATATATCTTTATTACGTAAGGTATTATATTTTTTTGTTACAAATTGAAGATATACAAATATACCTTGTCTTGATATACACTCATATTAATATATATAACAGTAGCAAGAATGCCGGTTTGTATATGAATCATATTAGAAGTTGATTGAAACCATATTTCTGTTTTAAGCGTTGTCACTACATAATAATAAAGGCATCCATAAGCGATCCATATTGTTATATTATAAAAATGCTTAAATAAAGTTTTTTTGGAGAGTAAACACCTAAACCGGGAACGGAAGCGGTTAGGAGTAAAGGATATACAGTCTTTTCTATGGTATATGCCATAGTCATCACTCTCACGGTTTCTGCTGCAAACTAACATCGACTGCCCATTCGAACTCATTTGATTAAATTCATTCAAATGATAGAATAATGCATAGTTGAATTATCAAATGCATTAGCGTTTTGTATCATTTAATTCTTCCATACACAATGACGTAGTCGATCGATGTCACCAGACAGTATTAGTCTTAATAATATGCAAACGGCATAATCATGTCTATTATTATAATTGCGCACTATTGTCCAATTAATATTACATTCAATAAAATTTATAAATAATCTTGATGCATTATTACAAAGTTAGGTTCGATTAGATGCTACTTATGTTGCTTTTTAAACGCAATTGTAAGTCAATTAAGGTACATCAACAATTATTTTAAATTGCACCATAATGATCAGGAAATTCACAATCGTCGTAAAAAACTGAAAAAAGGTTTCAATTAATTAATTTTTATTAAATATAAAAATAACAATTTATTGAAAATATTAATAAATAAATGTAAAATAAGTTAAAGCAACCGGAAACTACCATGTAATAGTGAAAAACAGTAGAAAAACAGTTTTGATAAGAAAATATTAAAAAAGAAATGTCTTGAATTCTTATAAGTTATGTTATAAAAAACGACATAAAGTGGTAAAAAAGATAAATGCAAAAATAAACCTTTCGAAGGAAGTCATTGCCAAGATAGAAGAGACCCATTCCAGTTAATTTCAACGGATGATACATTATTTGCAATGTAAACTGATAAATCTGTACACAAAAGATGTTAGTTTACTTTAAACAATTTACTTCATTGACTTGTTGTTATAAAATGTTTTTTACCTCTTTCCAAACGTCTGCATATCGAATAGAATTTGTAAGTTGATAAATTGTTTTGTTAATTTTGTTAGCCTAAAATTTGAATATTATTTATTACATCAAATATATATTGTTATTAAAAATTATTTGGGTTATTTTACCTTATCTGTAACACTCTCGCAGATATAATTTACAACGCATAGCTTCATTAAAAATAGTAAGGTCCATAGGATGATACTAAACAACGCGTTTATTTGTATCTCTTTTTGATGTTCTTGTATTAGTATTTCGCATAAATAATAGCACAATGCTGTTAAAAACGCGAGATAAGATGCCATCTCCAAAGCCATTTGTGTTCCAAATATGGAGTTCAGCTCACAAGTAAGACGACATAATTCTAAATGAAGTTGCCTGTTGATAAACACATTTTCTTACGAGAAAACGTAGAGATGAGAACCCATATAATTTAGAAAATTTTAATAGTATTTATAATTGTACTGCTCTTATAATCTTCAGAAATAGAGTTCTATTAAAATTGCATAATCAGTTTTGTATCGATTCGATAATTTAGCTAAATATATGCTTGTGCAAATTTACATTGTAGTCCACAACGTTCGCTTGCAATTATCAATACATGAAGTATCTCGACGAAGAACTACTACAGATTTTTTCCATGTACATCTCAGCCCATGCTCCTCTTTCACCAATAAACATCGTACATGCTCATTTACTTTGTCAAATCTGGTACTGATATACCTATATTGTAAAGAATCTCTCAAAAATTGTATAATATATAGCAAAATCTTCAATTCAAATGTATATTTGAAGAACAGTTTTTTTAAATAAATGTAATCTTTTTTATGAAAAAAAATTTGTATTGAAGCAGCTATAGAATGATATATCAGGGACTTTTGTTAGAAATGTAAAAAAAAAATGTCATTTTAATGTGATAATTATATATATATTTATATTAATAATTAGCGAGCAAATTGTAAAAAAAAAAACATTGATTCATAAATATAAAGAACACAAATAGTATATGCATTAGTTCAGTTTATAAACATGTCGATATTCATATTTGTTTTTTTTTATCGCTATATATATCTAAAGTATGCATATTAAAAAAACTATGCAATGAATAAAATCAATATATATATGTATTTACATTGTAAATACTATACAAACCATAGGAGAAACATGAATAATAAGTCCAGAAATGTATTGACATGAATAGGGTAATTTAGTATGTGAGATAAAAATAATCCCCAAGAAGCAAATTCTTTTCTGCTCAACCAAAATATCGTGTCATCAAAATTCATAGCAAGGCTGTATACGATCCACCCGATTAGTATTCCTTTTCCTAATATATGTATCTTTCGATATATCTTTGGAGTGCCAAGCTCTTCCAAAGTATCATCCACTGCAGCAAGTCTTATTACACATAATTCAAATCTCTAAAACAATATTAGAGACAATTCAAAATTTACGCCTATGAAATAATTATGTTTTTATAACGTAAAAATAATAACGTAAAGACTTTTAAAATCTTTGAAGGCATCGTATATGTGTTTAATCTTTTTTTAAAAGAATTTCAATTAAAATATAATCGCATTTAATATATTAACACTGACACACTCCCTACACATGCACACATATATACATAGAATGTATGTAAATGTCAGAATTGAAATAAAAATCACAATTATGCTCAAAAACATTGTTAAATATAATTAATATTATAAAGTATATAAATTTAATATCTTAATATAAATACTTGAATGTAATTGCATCTGTATGTACCTTTTGATAACAGAATTTCATAATTACGGACATAAACAATGATAAGATGTTAAACGCCATAACAACCATATTAAGGCGACTAGAATATATTATTTTTAATGTAATATTCCAGACATAGAAAATGGAATAAGCGTAAGATTTTCGTAATTGTAACATACTTATGTTTTTCCAGTACTTATATATATTAAAATGATCGATTTGCTCTAATAAGCGAGAGAGATATGGATTTCGTGATGTAAATTATTAAAATAACGTTGCTAATTCCATTTTTGCGTGTTTTGCTGTAGAAAGCAACAAATTCAATATTGTTTTGCATAATTTTATTCTACAGGATGTTTATAAAGTTTGTCCCCATTCCTATATTTTGGAAACGGCTCAAAATTATAAAAAATCGCGAAATACATTCCTAATTATTTCGAGGGGTTACTTTTTTAAGGGAAAGTTTTCTTCTCAAGGCGATGCCCCAGGGGGAACCCAACCCAAAAATTTTAAATGAAACCCCCCATATTGTAGTATATTAAAAGTGCTTAACAAAGAAAATTTTTGGCGCAAATCGGAAATTATACGTTGACCCGTTCAGAAGTTTTTTAGAGTCAAAGTTCAAAAAAGTCAATTTTCAAAAAATCGTTACTCCTATTTGGAAAATCCTAAAATAATGTTCGTGGTGTGACTGGAAGCGGTTAGGAGTAAAGGATATCCAGCTTTTTCTATAGTATATGCCATAGTCATCACTCTAGCGGTTTCTGCCACAAACTAACATCGACTGTCCATTCGAACTCATTTGATTAAATTTATTCATTAAAGTGATAGAATAATGCATAGTTGAATTATCAAATGCATTAGCGTTTTGTATCATTTAATTTTTCCATACAAAATGACGTAGTCGATCGATGTCACCAGACAGTATTAGTGTTAATAATATACAAACGGCATAATCATGTCTATTATTATAATTGCGCACTATTGTACAATTAATATTACATTCAATAGAATTCATAAATAATCTTTGATGCATTATTACAAAGTTAGGTTTGATTAGATGCTAGTTATGTTGATTTTTAAACGCAATTGTAAGTCAATTAAGGTATATCAACAATTATTTTAAATTGCACCATAATGATCAGGAAATTCACAATCGTCGTAAAAAACTGAAAAAAGGTTTCAATTAATTAATTTTTATTAAATATAAAAATAACAATTTATTGAAAATATTAATAAATAAATGTAAAATAAGTTAAAGCAACCGGAAACTACCATGTAATAGTGAAAAACAGTAGAAAAACAGTTTTGATAAGAAAATATTAAAAAAGAAATGTCTTGAATTCTTATAAGTTATGTTATAAAAAACGACATAAATAGGTAAAAAAGATAATAAATGCAAAAATAAACCTTTCGAAGGAAGTCATTGCCAAGATAGAAGAGACCCATTCCAGTTAATTTCAACGGATGATACATTATTTGCAATGTAAACTGATAAATCTGTACACAAAAGATGTTAGTTTACTTTAAACAATTTACTTCATTGACTTGTTGTTATAAAATGTTTTTTACCTCTTTCCAAACGTCTGCATATCGAATAGAATTTGTAAGTTGATAAATTGTTTTGTTAATTTTGTTAGCCTAAAATTTGAATATTATTTATTACATCAAATATATATTGTTATTAAAAATTATTCGGGTTATTTTACCTTATCTGTAACACTCTCACAGATATAATTTACAACGCATAGCTTCATTAAAAATAGAAAGGTCCATAGGATGATATTAAACCACACGTTTATTTGTATCTCTTTTTGATGTCCCTGTATTAGTATTTCGCATAAATAATAGCACAATGCTGTTAAAAACGCGAGATAAGATGCCATCTCCAAAGCCATTTGTGTTCCAAATATGGAGTTCAGCTCACAAGTAAGACGACATAATTCTAAATGAAGTTGCCTGTTGATAAACACATTTTCTTACGAGAAAACGTAGAGATGAGAACCCATATAATTTAGAAAATTTAAATAGTATTTATAATTGTACTGCTCTCATAATCTTCAGAAATAGGGTTCTATTAAAATTGCATTATCAATTTTGTATCGATTCGATAATTTAGCTAAATATATGCTTGTGCAGATTTACATTGTAGTCCACAACGTTCGCTTGCAATTATCAATACATGAAGTATCTCGACGAAGAACTACTACAGATTTTTTCCATGTACATCTCAGCCCATGCTCCTCTTTCACCAATAAACATCGTACATGCTCATTTACTTTGTCAAATCTGGTACTGATATACCTATATTGTAAAGAATCTCTCAAAAATTGTATAATATATAGCAAAATCTTCAATTCAAATGTATATTTGAAAAACAGTTTTTTTAAATGTAATTATTTTATGAAAAAAATTTTGTATTGAGGCAGCTATAGAATGATATATCAGGGACTTTTGTTAGAAATGTAAAAAAAAAATGTCATTTTAATGTGATAATTATATATATATTTATATTAATAATTAGCGAGCAAATTGTAAAAAAAAAAACATTGATTCATAAATATAAAGAACACAAATAGTATATGCATTAGTTCAGTTTATAAACATGTCGATATTCATATTTGTTTTTTTTTATCGCTATATATATCTAAAGTATGCATATTAAAAAAACTATGCAATGAATAAAATTAATATATATATGTACATTGTAAATACTATACAAACCATAGGAGAAACATGAATAATAAGTCCAGAAATGTATTGACATGAATAGGGTAATTTAGTATGTGAGATAAAAATAATCCCCAAGAAGCAAATTCTTTTCTGCTCAACCAAAATATCGTGTCATCAAAATTCATAGCAAGGCTGTATACGATCCACCCGATTAGTATTCCTTTTCCTAATATATGTATCTTTCGATATATCTTTGGAGTGCCAAGCTCTTCCAAAGTATCATCCACTGCAGCAAGTCTTATTACACATATTTCAAATCTCTAAAACAATATTAGAGACAATTCAAAATTTACGCCTATGAAATAATTATGTTTTTATAACGTAAAAATAATAACGTAAAGACTTTTAAAATCTTTGAAGGCATCGTATATGTGTTTAATCTTTTTTTAAACGAATTTCAATTAAAATATAATCGCAATTAATATATTAACACTGACACACTCCCTACACATGCACACATATATACATAGAATGTATGTAAATGTGAGAATTGAAATAAAAATTACAATTATGCTCAAAAACGTTGTTAGATATAATTAATATTATAAAGTATATAAATTCAATATCTTAATATAAATATTTGAATGTAATTGCATCTGTATGTACCTTTTGATAACAGAATTTCATAATTACGGATATAAACAATGATAAGATGTTAAACGTCATAATAACCATATTAAGGTAACTAGAATATATTACTTTTAATGTAAAATTCCAGACATAGAAAAAGAAATAAGCGTAAACAAACCAAATTATTAAAGAATATAAAGTGCTTAAGTATATGATCCATCGTATATTCAATTTTGATCGTTTTATAGGATAAACACCTAAACCCATAATAAAACACATTATAAAAAAAGGACGTAAAGCTTGTTGAATAGTCGTCACCATAATCATTACTACCATATGATCAAACTAACACTGTCTGTTCGAACTCATTTGCTAAATGTTTTGCTATTGCGCCGACTCGTAATAAGATAGCTGATTTTCGTAATTGTAACATACTTATGTTTTTCCAGTACTTATATATATTAAAATGATCGATTTGCTCTAATAAGCAAGAGAGATATGAATATCATAATGTACATTATTGAAATAACGCTGCTAATTCAATTTCTATGTGTTTTATTGTACAAAGCAACAAATTCAATATTGTTTTTCATAAAATTCTTCTATATAAAGTGGTTTTTATTATCGCATCCTATATTTTACATACATATGATAATATTAACACATATAATAAAATAAGAAATGACATAAAGTTGCCCTTTCAATTTTAATATTAATTTGATTTATATTAATAATGTAATAATATAAGAAAAAAACAGAAAAAAACAAAGACAAAAATGTTTTTAACATTTATAAAGGTATAAAAGTTTATTTCTGTTTACAGATTTGTTTCTGTCGTTTCGTTACTTTGCTTTTATACTTCTAAAAACTAATATATTATATTGATATGAGATATATAAATTATTAGAGCGCAGATATTCGTGATTTTTCATGATAAGCTTTTTCAGACAGACAGAGATGTGCAAAAACATATTAATGTAATCTAAAGAAAAATGACAGAAAGAGAACTAAAATTATAGCTTTGTAATTAAACAAATATGTATCTATCTATATTTATCTATTTCTCTCTGCAATATTTTTCAATTTTATAAAACCTCCAATTTTATAATTTTAACCAATTATAATTTTAAACTAAATTTTATAATAGTTTGTTTTTATCAATTTAAACTAACAATATAAGTTTATAAACATAAACTATTTTTAAATTAGCAGTGTCAAGACGATTTACAATTATTTTTGCATGTTTATTATTTCTTTTAAATAAAGTTTCGTTTCTATTTTACTATTGTGATGTACTGTTAAGCAAACAATATATCTTATACATGCGAGTAACTTGCTAACGAACGGCGTAGCCGAATAATGACAAATTCATTATTTGCAAAATAAGAATAAAATCAAAAGAACAAAGATAAATGTATATTGCATTTCTAATGTGTTTTATAATAAGCTATATATTAAAGATTGAGAGAAAGATTGATAAATTTTCGTATATTATTAAGTATTTAAAAAGAATCAAAAACATAGAATAATTTTTTGTCTATCTCAGATATTTTATTATTAACGTTTTAAGCGTAAAATAAATATGTTTATTGTATTTTTCTGCTTTTAACTATGATTACATAAGCTTAAATGCAGCGTTTAATAGATATAATTAAGGACAATAATATTAATGCAGTCTTACAAAATATTAAGCTAAATATTATATGGCAGATTGGTTTGTAGTTTTCGAGGGCAATTTTTCAGTTTCCTGACATTTGCAATATGATGATCATGAATGTTACAATTCTCATGCAGAACTGGAAAAAACAAATATAAATTTTAATTCACTTTTACTACATGTGCAATTGAGTTATGAGTATAATTTATTACAATTTTTTATGTTTATTTTTATAAATACTTTATACGTTTGCAAAGTTTGCAACATAGATTTTAATATTCTGCAAATAAAGCAGTTTTCCAAATTTATATGATTTATGATATAAAACACGCGACCAAAAAAATGAAATATTAGAAAAAGGTGTAAGTGCAAAAATTAACCTTTCGGAGAAAGTTGTTGCCAAAATAGAAGAGACCCATTCCAGTAAATCTCAACGGATTATGCATTATTTGCAAAGCAAATTGATATATCTGTGTGTAAACAAACCATTATTTAACTTCAAATAATTTGCTTCAAATATTTACTTCTCGTTATTAAAAACAATATCTTACCTCGTTTCTAATATTAGCATATCGGAGAGCATTTGTTAGTTGGTAAACTGTTTTGCCAATTTCGTTAGCCTAAAATATTTAAAATTGATTACACTTAAATATCTTTTTATTGAAATCTATATGATTTTACCTTAACACTGATATTCTCACAAAAATAATTTATAATACAGAGCCTTGATATAAAAACTAAAGCCCAAAAAATGTTGCCAAGCCATGCAGTTATTCGTGCTTCCTCCTGTATTTTCTGTGTTAGCATTCCGTATACATAATGACACAGTGATGTCAAGAAAAATAGATAGGATGCCATTTCGAAAGCCATCTGCGTTCCGAACATCCCATTCAATTCACGAGCAATGCGACATAATTCTAAATGAAGATGCCTGTTGTCAAAATTTTTCACGTAAAAATTGAGAATTTACAGAAGATTGTCATAATAATTTATTATTTTATTGTTAGATTTGTATCGAATCACTATCTAATCTACGCAAAGATAAGTGTACCGATTTACATTAGGCTCCATAACACTCGCTTATAATTATCAGTACGTGAAATATTTCGATAAACGTTGATTACTGGTCTCTTCCATTTATTCAGTCCATGCTGTTCTTTCATCGATAGATATTGTATATGCTCGTTTATCTTATCAAATCTGTTGTTTATATACCTGTATTTTATAAAAAATGCTTTATATCGACAATTTTTTAAAACAAAAAGATTTAATTTTTTAAAATTATTTTTTTACATTTAGTGCATAAAAATACATTCTTTCAATACTTTCTTTATTATATATATGTAATAATATATTTATAATAAAGAAAGTATTAAAAGAATGTATTTTTATGATCATATTTCGTCACTTATTAAAAAAAAGAGAAAATAAATAGCGAACATTTAATCTATAAAGAATAAAAATTAATGACCGATACATAGACACATAGTTAATTCTTTTAAATAAATAAATACGATTAAGATACAAACCATAAAAAGGTGATAAATATTAAATCCACGAGTCCATTGGCGTGAAGACAATAATTTCCTATATGAGGTAAAATATATACCCAGGCAGACGTTTCTTCTCTGTTAATCCACCATAACGTATCGTAAAAATTCGCGGCAAGGCTGCAAATAATCCACGCAATCACCATTATTTTTGACCATTTATGCATCTTTTGATATATCTTTGAAGTTCCCAACTCTTCCAATGTATCATCCACAGCAGCAAGTTTCTTCATAAATATTTGAAATCTCTAAAATAATATTAGACAATGATTTAAAAAACACATACAATGTTATCATCTTTTATGATATAACATACGTATACACGTAGATTGTTTAAAAAATGAGGATAAGTCTATAAAATAGAATATATTCAAAGTCTTATGTTGGAAATTACGGAAGCATAATTATTACACGCACACACACACACTTTAAAATGTTATAATGTAATTAATATAATTATATATATGTATATATATATAACATGATTAATAAAAATATACATAATTATATATATACCTTATAATGATATATATTAAGAATCACGCATGTGATTGCAATTATCGTGTTAATCTCCATAACAATTACCATAATATTTGTCCCATATATTGATATCAGTGAAAAAGAACTTATTATATGGTACACAAAATACCAATAAATAAACCATATCATTAAAGAATAAAGAATACTTAAATATATAATCCACTTAATATTCGGTCTGGATTCTTTTAGCGGATAGACACCTAAGCCGATAATAAAGCACATAATAAAAAAAGGTCGCACGGCCTGTTGGATCGTGGTTATCATCGTCATTGCAAAATAGCACTGTTGACTAATTAAACTTATTTCTCAAACTCATTTATGGTATTCGTGCGCATTGCAATTACGATAATTTACAATGTTAGTATCCTTTTCATAATCATAATATATGCTCTCTCCAGCACTTACGCATATTAAGATAATAATCGACCCGCCCCTGATGAATGTGACAGATAATTCATTATTAAACATGTTTCAAGTAAAACTATTGAAATTTTGATTTTGTAATAAGATAATATAATTACGAAAAGAAAGAAAGGAGAAAGAGACAAAAAAAAGGAATATTTGTAAAGTTTGTGAAAATATAAAAAGTATTTTTATTAAAGTCAGATATACATGTCATTACAGCATAGAAATATATATATAAAATTTTATAGTAAGTCTTCTCAGATAGGCAATGTTTAGACGCGTAAGACAATCCATGTGCAATTATTTTTACTTTCGTCGTATGTTAGTTCTAAATAAAATTTTATTTCTTATTTTATATATGCATTATTAACGTATTACTAGTGATATGACGCATTTAAATTTATTCATAAGCATGTATCTAATAATGATACAATTGCATTCGCAAAATATTCATAGAATAAAAAATCAAGTCTCAAAAATAAATACTCATATTTACTGCCATTTTAATATACCAATGTTTTGTCTTTTAATTAGTTCTATTAAAAATTGATAATAATAAATTAAAAATTAATTTAAATATCTTTAATCATTACAAAATATTATAAGCCTACAATTTTTTTGGTTTGTTTTTAATGTTCTATTATTAACAATTTGCAACATAATAAATATGCCTGTTGCAAAATTTAGTCTAGCACCCAAAAATATTTTCATGATTGATTTGTAGTTTGAAAGACAAAATTATAGTATAATAAAACTGTTAATTATGCATCCTTTTTTAAAATAATTTACATATCAATTTAAGTAACGCCTAATCAGTATAATTATAAAGAATAACTTTTATGCATTTTTTTGAACATTATTTTTACCGTTATAAGATATTAAATTGAGATTATTTTTTCCTTAGAAAAAATTCTCAGTCTTTTACCATTTGCATCACGATAATTATTAATGTTACAACTGTCAGGCAAAACTGAAAAAAAACATTAAATATTTTCAATTAACTTTTGCTACGTAGAAAAATAACATTTTATTAAAATGCAACGTAAAGTAAAGTAAAAAAATAGTGTTATATATATAGTATATAATAGAAAAAGATAGTAATAACAAATCTCATAATAATTTTATAGGAGCAATTTTCTGAATTTTTAACATTGATTTAACCCAATGATGTAATGACGTAAATTAATAGAAAAATAT